AACTCTATGATTCTATGATTACATTTGGTGAGAATGAATTCCATACATGCAAAGAAGGTATTTCTTTCATCTATCCCAAATCTTCCAGCGTTCAGCTTATTTGGATGTCCATGAGTTCTGCGTAACGAGAGGGGGAGAAAAAACCTCTCTCCATCCACTTTCCCCATTTTATGCACCTGGATCATGTCCCCCACCCACCAGTCTTACTAGCCATTCCTCCAGACAACAAAGCCACTCCTTAATCATTTTGGTTGCCCATTTTCTCAGCCTTCTTTAGTTCTCCAGTATCTTTTTTGAGGTCCAGTGACTTTCTTTCCAAAGTGTTACAAGTGGCATCTTCACAGCTTTCTTCTGACCTGTTAGAAACCCATGGAGTCCACTGCTCTGGGTCCTCTAACCAAACCCTTGCCAGCCTTCTAAAAGTGAGCATTGGTGGCTGGTCTAGTATGCTTATGCTGCTGTTCAGATTTTAAGTTACATTTTTGTGATGTAGCAGTACCACCTTGGTTCCAGAAAATGCTGCCCCCCCCAAAAAAAACCAGATTATATTTTCTGTTACCATTTGTGGCCCCTACTCTTGTGTACTCGTTCAGCACTAATTTGGTGCAGGCATTCAGAGGTGTGTTATTTGCCTGCTCAGTCAGGGGCAAGTGCCAATAAGCTGTTTTCTGGAAACATGTGCTTGCTGTGCCAGCCCACCAAAATGAACCCTCACCCATTTTTTCCAGAACCAGCTCTTAAACAACGATGGGCACAACCCACTGATGAAAAAGGTGTTCGATATTCATATTGCCTTCCTCAAAAACGGGCAGTCAGAAGCAGCCCTTAAGCACGTCTTTGCCTCTCTGAGAGCTTTCATCAACAAGGTAGGTGAAGGAGAGTGAATCTTGATTATTGTTATTTATTTTATTTATGGACTGCTTCCCAAGAGATATCCTGAAGCAATTCACTAGATAGATGTGAACTAGCCTCTATTTACCACAGCTGATTCACCAGCTTTGTGGAGGAGTTCCTATTTTACTCCCACATTGAGAAGTTTTGACCTATAAAGCCTTAAACAGCTCAGGACTGAAATACCTCAAGGACCACCTCTCCCCATCTGAACTCCCCAGACCGTGTGATCATCATCTGAGGCGCTTCTTTGTGTGCCTCCTCCACAAGAGGCTCAGAGGGTGGCAACAGGGCCTTTTCTGCAGGGACTTCCCATTTCTGGAATGCTCTCCCCAAGGAGGCTTACCTGGCAACATCCTTGCATATATTTAGGCGCCAGCAAAAAACCCCGTTTATTTTCCACCAGGCCATTGGCTTTTAGCTGCCTGTGGCTTCCATCAGTGAGTGGGATATTTTAGTCCTGCCCTTTAAAACTATGAACAAGTTTGGGGTATTTCTTTATTATGGTTTTAGTGCTGCTCATTTACTGTTGTTAAGCTGCTTTGAGCTACTTTTGTCTAAAAATAAAAAGTGATTGATCAGTCTAATTCATTAACATTATCTTATAACCACTTCCACCATGATGGGCACATGATCAGCTGAAACTTGTCATGCTTTTTAAGAAGGGAACGTTGTTCTTCTTAAAACAACGGCTAAGGGAGCTGGGCATGTTTAGCCTGGAGAAGAGGAGGTTAAGGGGTGATATGATAGCCATGTTCAAATATATAAAAGGATGTCACATAGAGGAGGGAGAAAGGTTGTTTTCTGCTGCTCCGGAGAAGCGGACACGGAGCAATGGATCCAAACTACAAGAAAGAAGATTCCACCTCAACATTAGGAAGAACTTCCTGACAGTAAGAGCTGTTTGACAGTGGAATTTGCTGCCAAGGAGTGTGGTGGAGTCTCCTTCTTTGGAGGTCTTTAAGCAGAGGCTTGACAACCATATGTCAGGAGTGCTCTGATGGTGTTTCCTGCTTGGCAGGGGGTTGGACTCCATGGCCCTTGTGGTCTCTTCCAACTCTATGATTCTATGATTCTTCTTGCTGCCCCCACCTTTGGCCTGCCTTTAACCTCTGCCTGACCTTCCACCCCATCCAGTTCCCCTCGGCCTTCTTCAAGGGGAGAGTCAACATGTGTGCCGCCTTCTGCTACGAGGTCCTCAAGTGCTGCACATCCAAGCTCAGCTCAACCCGTAATGAGGCCTCTGCCCTCCTCTACCTCCTCATGAGAAATAACTTTGAGTTCACTAAGCGGAAAACTTTTCTAAGAACCCACCTCCAGGTTAGTGAAAGGGGAAGTCTTGGCAGGGCGTGGGTGGAGGGGGTGTTGAGCTGAATGCAGGATCTGGCACACGGGGCCAGCACTGCATGCAAAGAGCTCAGCTCCCTTCCAGGTTTGTTTACGCGACTTTTATGTTAACTGTTTCGCTCCCACAGAGGCATATGGAGGTTTCATATATATTTCCCCTGTGTGTGGTGAGTTCTTCAAAAAACGAAAAGGCAGGGTATGGAATAGGTTCATGTGAAATATTTTGATGCAGTTCAAACACATGAATCATTCTGCTGTTCTTGTAAATTAAATCTCCAGAGTAAAAAGTTGTGAATGTGCTAGAAGGGTGTTCTGGGAGTGGGCACGTTTATTTATTATTCCATCCCCTCCGAGGAATTCTGAGCAACGTACATCATTTGACAGGCCCCTCCCACCTTTGATGCTCACAGAAACACTGCCAGGAAGGCTGAGAGAGAGTGATGGCACAAGCCCACCCACAACCTTCATGCCTGAGTGGGGATTTGAGGCCAGGTCTTCTCCCCGCTAATCCAGAACTCTAGCCAGTAAATCACACTGGCTCCCAGCTGCACAAGGCACCATTTTTGCAATGTCCCTTGATCAGAAGGAGGCCAATCTAAAATGATAATACATCCAGAGGTAATAACAAGCAGCCTTCTCCAAGAGCAGATGTGCCCCCTCCCCCGCATCTGGAATTATTCATGCCTGAAACAGAAACCCAGTGGAACCATCTGCCCCTACCAGGCACAAATTGGAAGGAGCTTGTCTCAGAGCATCATCCTGTGCAGAGCTGAAGCGGGCACCCTCCCCTATGTGAGCAGCCAGTTTGCTCACAGGAGGTTCTCATTTAAGTGGTCATTTTCTTGCAATGTTCAGTTTAGGGACTACCATCCTGGGGGAAAGTTGGTTGTGTGTGTGCAAAATTGGCATTCCTTTGATTTCCAGTTGACTGATGTGGGTTTTCCAGCCTGTATAAGTTTGAAAACAAAGCCTTCTGCTTCTTCAATAGATCATTATTGCGGTAAGCCAGCTGATAGCTGATGTGGCACTTAGTGGAGGGTCGAGGTTCCAAGAATCGCTCTCAATTATCAATAACTTTGCCAACAGTGACCGGCCAGTGAAGGTAAGTTTGATTCAACGAATCAAAAAGAAGAGAGAGGCCAGGCCAATAGGAACATAAAAAGCTATATGCCAGGTCAGACAAGTGGCCTATCAAGTTCCATACCCTGACTGGCAGCCGCTCTCCAGGGTTTCAGGCAGGGGACATTCCCAACCCTACCTTAGAATGCATTGGGGACCTTCGGCATGCAAAGCAGAAGCATATTTATTCTGCTTATGAATGGTTGGAAAGAACCTCAGCTGAAGTCCATGGCGTGAAGGAACAGATCCAGGAGTACAAGTCCAGCAAAGGATGGGACAGGGTTGTAATAGGTGAGGGGGTAACAGTGGCACAGGAAACTCAACCCCCTGACTGACAGCTTTACATGCATTTGCCTCTGCAACCAAACAAGTTCTCCTTTCTCTGGACGTATTTTTAATGGCACTGCAAAATATCACATCTGGATCTCATCTAAAACTGAGCCATAATTTTTTTATTTTATTTTTTGAAAGTTGTGGCTCAGGGTTGGGGGTATGGACAGATTCATGAAACCTACAACCACACCTCACCTTGTTCATTCCCACACCAATTGATGACATCAGTCATCTTATTTTGTTGGGGAGGGGAGGTGTCCCTAGTTGCTGACAGACATCATTTTCTTCATTGCCACCAACACCACACAAAACTCTAGAGTGGGGGTGGGAAGCACTGCCTTCACTCTGAGCTGGCTTTGTGACAATTCTGTTTAGTCATGAAGCCAAATCAGAGTGAGGGCTAAGGTTTTCAGTCTGGGGTGGTGGGCAAGAATGACGCTGATTACCAACCACCAGCGGCATATCAACTGCAAGTAAGTTCACCCCACAATTCACCCCTGTTTATGCCTCCCCAGGTTCCCAAAACAGCCTCCTAGCTTTGCACCCTGTACACAGGTAGTGAAACTGGCAGGGTGGTGGGGTGCTTTTGGCTCATCCCTGAAAACGTGTATAATTTAAAACATCCAAAAGCAGTTACCTTTAAAAGCATGCTAAAAGCAATTACAATTAAAAGCATTCTTCCATCCAGTGATTTTGAGGTTGCTAGGAAAAGTGTTCTTCAGCCACGAAGTGCTTTGAAGTTTGATAACAGTGGAGGCAGGCACACCTCACTAGGGTGGCATTTCACAACCGGGGAGCCATCACCTTTTGAAGAACAGGCGTGGGGGCTTCCCATTTTGATGGGACTGGTTAATTTTTCTCAGCCCTGCGGTCACCTCTCCCTCCCCTGCAAAAAACTCTGCTGTTAGTTCCACATAATGGGGGGTGGGGGTGCAAGTAGGTAGACTAATACCAGCTTGGGAGGAGGGGTGCGGTTTAGATGAGGAAACTGCAAAGAGGGGTAAACATCTCCCTGTTGCGCAGATCTGGCATGAGGCGGCGGGGGGGGTGGCACTGCTGCTTTTACATTGAGGTAAACTCTTCTGGAAGTTGGGAGATCTCTTGTTTGGGGCAGCAGTGCTTCCAAATACCAGCCGCTGAAAACAGCAGAAGGGGAGAAGGAACTTGTGCTTGAATCCTGCCATTGGCCTGATCCAGCAGGCTCTTCTTATGTTCTAATCTGACCCTAGAGGCTTCTCCAGACAACCTATTTAGAGTTCAATTACCCTGATTCGCTTGTGCAAAGCTTATGCAGCAGCTGATTAGGGAGGGGTGCCGTACCTCTGTGCTAGAGCATCTGCTTTGCATGCAGAAGATTCCAGGTTCAATCCTTGATGACATCTCCAGGTAGGGATGTGAGAGACTTCTGCCTGAAACCCTGGACTGCTGCTGCCAGTCTGTGCAGACGATACTGAGCTAGCTGGATCCAGGGTCTGATTCAGCATGAAGCAGCTTCCTGTTTTCTTAAACCATGCACTTTATTGAGCACTAATTCTTAATGGTTTATGGGGCAATTATGACCACAAGTATTCACTGTGCATTCATCCTGATCTGCTTGTGAGGAGTTTACACATCTTCCTGTTAGGAATTAATTTAGCTCAAGCTTTTATATCATAGAATTGTAGAGTTGGAGAAGACCCCGAGGGTCCTCTAGTTTAACCCCCTGCAATGCAGGAATCCCAGCTAAAGCATCCATGACAGATGGCCATCCAACCTCTGCTTAAAACCTCCAAGGAAGGAGAGTCCACAGCTGCACAAAGGAGACTGTTCTTTGTATTTCCCCATCACTTTCCAAACTGCAAAATGTCTCTGTGTTTTGGGGTTTTTTAAGTGAGAGTGTTGTGCTCGGGAGCCATTCATCCATTTCAAATGCACAAACAAAAGTTAATAAGAGCCTCTGCTGTGCCTGGCCATTGGCCAATCTAGTCCAGCATCTAATTTTCACAGTGACCAACAAGAAGTTCCAGAATGTGCTTGAATCCCACAAACACAGTAAAGAGGCACCCCAGCCCCCGCTTCACATCTGCCTTCACCCTGACTCTTGGCTTTTTCATGTCAGTCGACGTCTTTTCCGTCTGAAGTGAAAGACCTGACCAAGAGGATCCGGACAGTGCTGATGGCCACGGCTCAGATGAAGGAACATGAGAAGGACCCTGAGATGCTGGTTGACCTGCAATACAGTTTGGCCAAGTCCTACGCCAGCACACCAGAGCTGAGGAAGACCTGGCTGGACAGCATGGCCAAGATCCACTTCAAGAACGGAGATTTCTCCGAGGTAATTCATTGCTTTGCCTGGCCTGGGCTGCCTGGATGAGACATGTGGGGCTGGGGGTTATTCATGGCACTAAACGCTGCCCTTGTTTTGCAGGCAGCCATGTGTTACATTCACATTGCAGCTTTGGTGGCAGAGTTCCTTCATCGAAAAAGTAAGTGATTTTGAAGAAGTTTCAAGTGTGCAGAACTTTGGAAGGTTTGTTTCGTGCTGCAGGGCAATTGCGTTGTGGAGTGTGGGCTCGTTTCTGCAGTTCTTGCATCATCTTGAAGCTGGCACACCGTCCCGTGTTTTCTTTGTTTTGTAATGGATTGCTTTTGGATTCTGCTGGCTTCGAGCCAGAGTCATTCCCACAATGGAGGAAGTTAGAGCCCAGGGGGTCTGGACCTGCCTGAGGGAGGGAGCAAAGTGACAGCAGAGGCTGAGCTGAACCTTGGGTGGGTGAGGTTATGACACTGTAGCTACATAGTCTTATAGCCTGGGTAGCCATCCATCAGGGATTGTTTGACTCCTGCATGGCAGGGGGTTGGACTAGGTGTGTCCCTTCCAACTCTACAATTATATTCTTCTATCCTCCCCCCCTAACCTTATAGGGCTGCAGCACCAGCCCCTCGGCAGTAGAAATCCAGCAATTTAGCAACTGCTAAATTGTAACTTCACTTCCTGCAGGGAGGGAACCAGGCAGAGGGCCTTCTTGGTAGTGCCGCCTGCCCTGTGGAATGCCCTCCCATCAGATGTCAAAGAGATGAACAACCACCTGACATTTAGAAGACATCTGAAGGCAGCCCTCTTTACGGAAGCTTTTAATGTTTAATAGGTTATTGTATTTTAGTGTTCTGTTGGAAGCCGCCCAGAGCGTCTGGGGACACCCAGCCAGATGGGTGGGGTACAAATAATAATAATAATAATAATAATAATAATAATAATAATAATAATTATTATTATTATTTTATTTCAGTCCCATGATGAGGCCTGAATCCTGACTGGAAGGTACCCAAATGGTTCGCATTCTCCAGGCATGCTTGGAGTTGTTCAGCAACATAGTGGGTGGTACTGAGTTAGGTTTTCCTCAGAATAGACCCACTGAAATTAATGAAGTTAGGTTCATTAATTTCAATGGGTCTACAATGAAGGAAAGTGTGTTGACTAAGACCCAGTATTTTTTGGAAAATGTACATGACATTTCTGTCATCACCTGATGTCTTCACTTTGTGAATACAGTTCTCTGTCCTCACACACACTTGTATTGGAGAAATGCATAAGTATGTGCCATTTATTTATTGTTAAAAAGAGAAGTGGGACCCTTGCCAACCTTGTTGTGGATTTGGACTAGAATCAGGAACAAGCGCATGTGGTTTGCGGTTCATTGCTGCACTGGATTAAAATGGACTTTCCAGGGACCATTCCACCTCGCAATGTCAAAAATTAAATTCATGACTGTAGTACTTCATAGAAGGCAAACAATGGTTTCTGCAAAACTGAACCTGACTCTTTAGTCCAGGGCGTGAGGAGGGAGAAAGGGGCTTGTACAGACATAATAATAATAATAATAATAAACAACTTTTATTTATATCCCGCCCTCCCTGGCCGAAGTCAGGCTCAGGGCAGTTAACATCAAATATATAACATTAGTATAAAATCAAACAATATTTAAATGACATGTCAAAATCAAATTAAAGTCTAATTAGATGGCTTTCCGCAGGGTTAGGGTTGGGAACAGTAAGTGCTCATTGGCCCAACTGTTTACGCTGGTCTTATATGGGCCTGTGAGAACGCTGGGAGGCCCCTTTCATATTAGTTCTTATAAAAAAAGGAAAGGGGAGTCAGGCTGAGCCCTGACCAAAGGCCAGGCGGAACAACCCCATCTTGCAGGCCCTACGGAAAGATGTCAAATCCCACAGGGCCCTAATCTCTTGTGACAGAGCGTTCCACCAGGCCAGGGCCAAGGCCGAAAAGCCCCTGGCCCTGGTTGAGGCCAGCCTAATCTCTCTGAGCCCTGGGATCTTCAAGGTGTTATTATTTGTAGACCGTAAGGTCCTCCATGGAACATACCAGGAGAGGTGGTCCCATAGGTACGAGGGTCCTAGGCCGTATAGGGCTTTAAAGGTCAAAACCAGCACCTTAAACCTGACCCTGTACTCCACCGGGAGCCAGGGCAGCTGGTATAGCACTGGATGAATGTGAGCCCACAGCGAAGACCCCAAAAGGAGTCTCACCGTGGCATTCTGCACCTGCCGGAGTTTCTGGGTCAGCTTCAAGGCAGCTCCACATAGAGTAAGTTACAGTAATCAAGCCTGGAGGTGACCATCGCATGGATCACAGTGGTGAGATCAGGGCGAAAGAGGTAAGGGACCAACTGCTTAGCACGGCGGAGATGGAAAAATGCCGCCTTTGTTGTGGCTGCAACCTGCACCTCCATGGAAAGGGAGGCGTCGAGGATTACACCCAAACTCTTGACAAAAGACGCTGGCACTAATTGTGTCCCCGCAAGAGATGGGAGTTGGCCCCCCAACCCCATATTGTCCCAACCCAGCCAAAGGACCTCTGTCTTCGAAGGATTTAGCTTCAAACGGCTCGCATGCAACCATCCAGCCACAGCTTCCAGACATCTGATAGGCTTTCAAGGGACGTGGGTGGCGCTGTGGGTTAAACCACAGAGCCTAGGACTTGCTGATCAGAAGGTCGGTGGTTTGAATCCCTGCAATGGGGTGAGCTCCCGTTGCTCGGTCCCAGCTCCTGCCAACCTAGCAGTTCGAAAGCATATCATTAATCACTCTCTGATTAATTTTCCATGGGCAGACCCTTTCCCTGACAAAAATGGATCACGGTTTGTGATCTCCCTCGATCACAAGTGAGAGGCAGATCTCAGAACAACATCTCTCTTCCTTTCTGCAATGCCTGCTCCTACATTGGTGGCGCTGTGGTCTAAACCACAGAGCCTAGGGCTTGCTGATCGGAAGGTCGACAGTTTGAATCCCTGCAACGGGGTGAGTTCCTGTTGCTCGGTCCCAGCTCCTGCCAACCTAGCAGTTCGAAAGCACATCAAAGTGCAAGTAGATAAATAGGAACCAGTCCAGCGGGAAGGTAAACGGCGTTTCCTTGCACTGCTCTGGTTCGCCAGAAGCGGCTTAGTCATGCTGGCCACATGACCCAGAAGCTGTACGCCGGCTCCCTCGGCCAATAAAGCGAGATGAGCGCCGCAACCCCAGAGTCGGTCACGACTGGACCTAATGGTCAGGGGTCCCTTTACCTTTACCATAGGCTTTCATAAGCATCCTATATGATGTTCTTGACACTCTGTCGCAGGCTCCCTGCCGTACTCACTCTAGCCGTCTGAGGTCCCGCTTGATTTTCCGGAGCTCCTCGGTGAACCAGGGGGCCCAGTTTCTGCAGGGTCGCAGAGGGCGTCTAGGTGTGATCTCATTGATGGCTGCCAAGAGCCGGGTATTCCAACCCTCAACAAGCTCACCCAATGAGCCGCCAGGGGGAGCAGGGTCCCACAAGGCCTGATGGAATCTATCAGGGTTCCTCAGCCTCTGCGGGCGAGCCCAAATAGGCTCGCCACCTAAGCAGGGTAGGGGTGGAAAGTCAATCCTGACTTTCAGAGCATAGTGATCAGACAATGGCACCTCCACGAAGGGGGCCATGATCACTTCTACGCCTGCTCCAAGGACCAAATCCAGCGTGTGGCCTGCTTGATGTGTGGGACCCGAAACAAACTGGGAGAGCCCTAGTGTTGCCATGGAAGACACCAGGTCCAGAGCCTGTGAGGAGGGGGCGGCATCAGCATGGACGTTGAAGTTTCCCAATACCAATAGGTTAGGGAACTCCAAGGCCCAGCCGGCAATCACCTCCAGCAGGCCTGACAGGGTGGCTGCCAGTGCACTAGGTGGCCGGTACACCAGCCAGACAGCCAAGCTCACCTCAGTGCCCTACACCAGGCCAACACATTCAATGCCGGGGATCGATGGTGCTGGCAGAGCCCTGAAAGAGCAATCTTCCTGGATTAACAATGCCACCCCTCCCCCCCAGCCCACAGTCCGCAACTGGTGGAGGACGGAGAAACACTAG